AAAAAAAAATCTGTCATCTCTCACCTGTGTAGATGCAAAACCTCCCAAGCTATTTCTTTGCCTGCTTAGCCACCTCATAATAGCTATTCCTTCAGGAACCCGAAACTGCAAGAAGTGTGAGAGTAGTGCATAGGCTGCAACTTCAATATCCAGAGAACTTGGCTGCCAAGATTCAGAAAGTTTCAATGCTGATGACACCCAGAATTGCATGCCTCCTGTAAGAGAAAAGTAATAACATTCTGATCGATTACAGAAAAATCACATTTTATTCCACTAGATACTGAGCCAAGTTCGACTTGACAAGTTTAAAAATAAATTTTTATATATGTATAAATTTATGTCAAGGAAGTATATGCATTTTTGTATTCACATATATACATATATAAATATGCACATGTATGTCATTTTTTAAACTATTATAACAAATTTTTATCATCCCTTTCCTATTGCCTGTATTTGAAAATGTTTTGATGAAAATATGTTCCCAAGAGAAAAATATGTTTGGCTCGTGGCTAAATAGCTGTAAGTAAAAGTAAGAAAAAACATACCATATTCCAGAAGATAATGTACATAATTCATCTCAGCAGGCTATCCTAAAAAGATGTCAGGACACACTGGAAAGAGTTCATTGGAAAAACCTGTTATGGAAATCTGCCATTAACCAGTTCTAATGTTCTTGGAAACAGCTCCCTTTTTCATTATCTGAAAATTGGTGTTATAAGCGCAAAATCTGAGCCTCCCCAAAGAAAAAGTTCTATTAGGAATCCCAGCCAACTCATCAACCTTCCTATAGATAGCCCTGCTCTAGGCCTTAAAGGATCCTGCTTAGTGCTCCCCCCACCACCACCACCCTCTCTCAAATATTACTATTATGATGATGATTACATTTAGATGAGATGTAAAATAACAATGAATGAGCCAAGGAGAGAAGAAGAAATGTCAGAGTGCTTCAGTCTTTATCCAATAATCTTCCTGTTCTGGTTACCAAGTGCCACTCTGACAAGAAAATACCACAAATGGGATGGCCTTAACAAACAGGAGTTTATTCTTACAATTTGGAGGCTTTAAGTCCAAGTTCAAAGTGCCAGGCTCTAGG